CCTCGACCGCGCTCGCCGCCCCGGCATCGGCGCCCCCCGGGGGGGGGGCGAAGCGCCGCCCGGCGCTCGTCGGGAACAGGCGGAGCAGGCGGGGGGCGCACAGGCGGCGCTTGCACGTGGTCTCCTTTACCGCGGACACCGCCGCGATGTTGGGCGCCCGCCAATCGAAGAGCGCGGCCGTGTCGCGCGCTTCGCGCGCGAGCCCGGTCGAGAGCGTCTTCGACGTCGTCGACGCCGGCCGGGCCCCCGACGAACAAGGGGCCACCTGCCTGCGCTAGCGGGGCGGCGTCGCCCTCCCAGAGCCTCGAGCCAGCGTCGGCGGCGTTCAGCTCCGAGGAGCGCCGCCGGTGAGCGAGCGCGATGTCGCCGGCGACGCACGGGGCAAGTAACTCGCGAGGACGCATGAGAACGCCAAACAATGACGAACGCCCCTTCTCAGAAGCCAAAGCGAGCGACAGTCTGCCCCCTGGATGAAGGTGACGTTTGCAATGTTATGTAGTGAACGTAGATGCCCCAGAGCAAATGCAGTTTCTCTTTCCGAGACCATGATGATATTTTCCTCCTGGCCGGATTTGGCCGCGCAGTCGAACTGCCGGCGCTTGGGGTCCAGCCGGCCGCCGGGCCCCCGGAATTTCCACGCGCTTGGAGCCGCCCTGGTCGACGCCATGGGCCGCGACGGCGTCTGCCCTTTGCGTCGGGGAATGCGTCGGGGACCTCCAGGGCCCCCTTGCGAGCCTGCGCTGCGGGGTTGTTGCCCCTGTATATGGCCCCCATCCATGGGTGACCTCGTTGCCAGGCGTCTTCCTGGGGCATGCGGCGTAGCCGGAGAGGCGGGCGTCTGGGCCCGAAGCGGTCGCGCTCCGCGTTCTGTCAAGACAAGCGTAGCAGAATGGCAGCGAGACTGCGCGAACGCCCTCGATGCGACTGGCGATCTCCCACGGAGGAGCACGCGCAGTGGAAGACAGAGAGCAATTCTCCGAGCAAGCAAAGACGGACACAAAATGTCCGAGGCAACGCTCCAACTCGCGCCCGCCGGCTCTGGGGCGAGACTGCGGCCGCCGCCCGGCGGCCTCGACCAGCTGCTGCTCGCGGGCAACGGGGGGCGGCGTCTCGGCGACGACCGTGGGCGCGGTGTCCGAGCGAGGAAGCGCCCGCGGCGGGGCCGCCCCGTTCGTGCACCCTGAACCCCGCGGCCTCGCGGTGGGCTTGCAGGCGATCTCTGGCGTTCCCGGCGGCGTCTGGGTCGAAGGCCATCGCGTTGAGATTGTCCGCGCGGGGCGGCGACGGGGCCTCGCCCGGGCCGACTTCTGGGGTCGGTCGGACTTTGGCGCGCCAGCGCCATGTCCGCGGAGATCACGCCGGACTCAAGGGCCCGCCGGCGCCGCCTCGAGGCGCGGGGCCACCAGGTGAGTACGGGGCAGCCGCGCCAGAGCGACTGGGAAGCCGGCGAACTCCCCGACCGCCCCCACTTCGACCATGGGCGAGGCGAAAGACGCGGACAGCTCGGAGAAGATGTCGACATGGTAGATGCAATTGGAGATGTTCGCCTGGGCGATGAACGCCTCGGGGCCCGAAGCGCGCCGCGGCGTCCGCAAATCGGGCCGCGCTGGCCAGGCCCGTGGATGGAGGCGACCCCGCGGCAGTCCCAAACTACTCTCGCGGCGCCGCTTTTCTTTCTGGCGAAGATGGGGTGATCCGATCCTCTGGGCTAGTCGCCCGTGCCAGTGTGCCACTGGCAGCGCGCCGGCGAAGGAAGCCAACGCATTGGGGCGGGGGGCGCTCCTAGGCTGGGCCCGTGCAGGGCTTGGCCGGCGGCGCATTGGCCCCGCGTGCCCCAGCGAATCACGGCGCTGCGAAGCCCGCCCGGGCACGCGGCGCCGGCGGGGCCGAGCAGCTCGGCGGCCATCCGGGGCCGCCCCACGGGCCCCGGGATGGCCATCAGCTGATGCGCACCAGGAGAAACAATAATAGAACCCCCCACCATCGCAGCCGAGGTCGGAGCGGAGAAGCACGCGAGCGGCTTCTCGAGAATCCACGGGCGGGCGACCATCATCGGCGCCCGCCTGCGCAACGCCTCTGCACTGCGCCGCCGGCCGCGCGGCCCTTGGGCGCGCGTCGAAGACGGCGCGACACCCTTCGCCGCCGCGCAGCCAGTTGAGGGCGCCAATCGTAGCAACGGCGAGCTGCCCGCGACCGCGCCGCGACTTCATCAGCCTTTGCTGAACCGAGCGGGACAAGCCAGGGCGAATCTCGAGGCGCTCGCCCAACTGCGGGCGCGGAGCAAACTCGAGCAGCGCTGCTCCGGGCACCTGCTCCATCGCGGCCAGGGCAAGGGTGGACCTCGTTGCGAGGGGGGCCGGCGGGCGCCGCCCCCGAGGCGCTTTCCTCGCCATTGGCCCCTAGCGGGGTCAGGGCACCCGCTGGCCTCCTGGGGCGCGCGCTGCGCCGTCTCGCGCGTCAAAGTGCCGGCGTCGGCAATAGCTGCTGCAGAGCTCGCGGCGCCAGACGCCGGCCCCGGATCGGCGGGGCGCGCGGCAGCCCGGGCGAGCAGGTCCCTCATGCCTGGAGCGCATGGTTGACTCGATCGTAGCCACGGTGCCCGTCGACACCTCCATCGCCCGCGACGCCTCCTGCCGCGACGCTGGTCTCGAGCTCCGACGCCTCCATTCGACGCCTGGTAATCTGCATGTGCCATTTCACCGGCGGCCCCACACTGATGGCCAAGTGGTCCTCCTCCTCCTCCTCCTCCTCCTTCTCCTCCTCCTCCCCATCGCTGGCGGTGGATGTCGGCTCGAAATCACGGTTTTTGATGACCAGGCAGCCACGCGCTGCCGTCCGCGTCCACGACGGCCGAACCCACCACTGGCTCTTCGGCCGCAGGCGCTGGCATCGGCAGCAGGTCGCCTCCCGGCGCCGGCCCCTAATCCACTGCGTCGGCAACGTCCATGCCCTCGTCGGAGCTGTCGTCGGCGTCGCACCCTCCGCGAACCCGCCTGGTAGCCGCGATCCCCACGTCCTCTGCGACGCCCCACCCCTGCAGGGACTGGCCGTCGTCCTCGAGGATCCTCGCACTCAGCTCGAAAACGATGACAGGAATCGGCACCACGCGACCGTAGCTCGCGCACCGACTCGCCAAGGCACGCCTCGTAATGGAGCCGTAGTACGGGCGT